GCTGTGTTGGAAAAGGTGTTCTCAGAATTTGAAGGCAGAATTATATTGATTATAGCTGATGGTGGAAGACATGTACAAGTTTATTAATTAAATCAAACAAAATTCACAAGCCTTCAGAAGATATTTTGTTTTTAATTTTGTTGTTATCTCAAATAACACAATTCTTATTAAACTTTCTTTTTTGTATACGCATTTTGGGACACCCTATATATATATTAAATCGTTTCATACTAAAATATTTACCAAAATTATATACTTATTGAAATAGTTTATCTATTTTAACAGATAACGCAGTTACAGACAAAATGATTGTTAGAATCCTGTCACCGAACATACTTGACCTTTCAGCCATGGGGGGAGGGGGCGTTATTATGTGACGCTCAATCGCACTATTCGTTGGTAAAAATATATCCAATGAGTCAGTGTTGAGTCGTGTTGACTAACTGTCTTCCCCCTAATCTAACACTTCAAAATTAGAGATGGCTAGAGAGATAACCCTCGAATGGTTTTGCGCGAAATTTAATAAACAAAAAATTAAATATATTAAAGAAATATTTTTGGAAACTTGAGGTTTAAGGTATAGAAGAGGTGTAAAGAAACGGGTAGTTCCCAACATTAATTCTGATGATTGAAATTTATTAAGGTATTGTTAATTTTGATGGAACGGGGAGAGGATAAGCTGTGCAGTGGTTAAAATGGAAACCTAGAGCTGTTGGGACTCATGAAGTAACCGAGTAAAAAACTTTAAAAATCGAATATGTAATTCACCATTTTATTAAATATATATATATACTGTATATTAGACAAGAAAAAGTAACCGTCAGTTGTGATGACGACTAGAGTCGTACGACATTGCACGAGTTTGAATGACATTGTTCCCATATATCTAATTGTGGTTAGTTATAGCCACAATTTCAATTTTTTTCCGGAGAGAACAAGCTTTCAAATATAATCGTATATTTACCATCGTAGTTCCTCCATAAACTATAAACTATTCTATACTATTGTTTCCGCTTCTCCTGGCTCCACCCTCATTTTGACAGCTGATGTTACACCAATACATTATATAACTATTCATGGTTAAGGTGAAATATCTGTTTTTCTCTTAATAGCTAATTAATATGTAGCATATGTAATTACATGAAATTCAAATTTTGAAATAAGTTGCATACTAAAAATAAATGGCTAAAAATGAAAACATTTTAGAAATCTACATCTAGATTTGTTTGTAATTATGATATACGAATATACTTAGTGCTTCTATCTTCTTTAAGTTCTTGTACCATTATAATATTTATTCTGAATTCATTCTTTGTTCTGAATGTGTGCAGGGCTCACAAAAAACGTGGTCTTGTTTCAAGACACTTTTGTTTCTTTACTGTTTTCGAAAGTAGATAATATCCACAACTGCCCAGGGAGGAAATTCTTTTTAAGTTTTTTTTTAATGATGTTGACAGCAATGTCTTTCAACAGCTGTTCTGGTGATATCTAAAGATATGTTCTTAGCTATATTTTAATGAGAAGGACCAATCACATGGGTAACACATGGCACTTTGGTAAATGCGAAGTTTCTTGCGAACAAGACCATCGCATTTAGTTTAATCTGGAACATCATTTGAAGTCTGGAACTTCATCTTCGTATTATCAGTCCTGTGGTTCAGTAAAGTAACAATAAGCACATACGCTGTGTTTTTTGTTTAGTATTGAATGAAGATGGCTCATTTTGTATTACACGTTGTGTCCGGTCTCATTATTTCATCTTACATAAACCCAAATAGTAAGAGATTTAGTACTGCACTGTAATCTAAATCTTGATAAAATCTGGAGATTTAAAATCAGGATCTATCCTGTGTAGCTGGATATACCGCATACTTAAGCAGGACTAGATTTCTCTTAATTTCTAGAATAATTTGCTTATTAATGCGGTATATGATTCTTTTATCATTTTGCAGAATAAAGATATAAATACAAAGAATTATTTGTATAGACGAACAGAGGTGTCGAAACCGGAGCTGCTATAGCATTTGACTTATGTAGCAACTGTAAATTGAATTATTACATAAATTTACTGGGGGCTTACCTCTACACACCCCGGATCGAACTGCTTTTGGCAGCACGGGAGCTGCTTTTAGAAGGTCCTTATACTTTCAACATCTCATTGTAAAATCTGTATGTCTAGCCCAACATCCACACTTTGCAACTCCTTTCTAAACTACTGGATGAACCAGGTTTTGATTGATGTTGTTTAGGGATGAAGGGTATTATCAGGATTAGCTGAAAGTTTGTTTGTTTATTTATTTGGAATTAAGCACAAAGCTACACAATGGGCTATCTGTGCTCTGCCCACCACGGGTATCGAAACCCGGTTTCTAGCATTTTAAGTCCGCAGACATACCGCTGTGCCACTGGGGAGCTGAGCTGAAAGAGGCTTAATATTGATGTTACGTTGCTGGTGCTGTAAATTATATAAATATCTGATTGTCAATGCTATTGTTAAAGCAATTTTTACGTTAGCTATGGTAAGCATTTCATTCGGGTTCTATTACCTTATTAAATTCATTATATTGAGGAGACTAGGAAAATGATGTTAAAAACTCTATTCTTAATAAGTTCAGAAAATATTAAAGACATTATTGTAGATGCCCTAATACAAATAAATAAGTTGGTATACCTGTAATCTTAGCCTTCGTTATAAGCATAGAAAGAAATCGAAATGACATATAAATGGGTTGGAAAGATATGTAAAGCACATATTGCGCTGCTATTAGTGCAATGTAAATAGTAAAGTAATATATAGCTTAGAAAATTGCTGTATTAATGCTTTTTGAAAAGTAGAAAATACTAGATTTTATGAAGTCAATATAATTGTTTAAAAACTATATTTTCTATTTCAACCTAAACTTATTTTAAACATTTTTTTCTTACTCAGTGTTATTTAAATTTTCGATTAATTACTTAGGATGTCATCCATTTTGAGTAATACAGTCACATGGTTAATAATAAATGAATAAGATAAGATAAAACAATGCTAAGAACGACTACAAACGGCCGAGCACCCTTTCATTAATCGTTATTATCATTATGGATTAAAAGAACATTATAATTAATTCGTGAAGCTTTCTGACAATCTTTTAAAAAAAAAAAATTAGCGATGTTCTATTTATAAACGCCTCGCTGTGGCTCAGACTCAGGGGTAGGTCTGAGGCCTTATAATGCTAAAAATCGGGATTTGAATAAAATGAAATAAAACAATGCTAAGAACGACTACAAACGCCCGAGCACTCTTTCATTAATTGTTATTATCATTATGGACTAAATGAACATTATAATTAATTCATAAAGCTTTCTGACAATCTTTAAAAAAAAACAAATTGTGACGTTCTATTTATAAACGCCTCGCGGTGACTCAGACTCAGGGGGTAAGTCTGAGGCCTTATAATGCTAAAAATCTGGTTTTGATAATCGCGGTAGGCAGAGTACAGATATCCCACTATGTAGTTTTGCGCATAACTACTAAAAATTTATAAATGTTTTTAAATTATTTTTTTATTTTTAAAAAAGACTATTAGATGGCATTATTGTAGTAATTTCAGAAGTTAGACTCTTAGTAATGCTAATCTAGTCATTTTAATTTCTATTTGTACTCTAGTATTTGAATCTGTACTATTAGTAAGGCTAACTTTAAAAATATTTTTATCACTTTTCAATGGGATTAACATTGTATGTGCATTTAACATATTCTAAATTATGAGTAGCAATATAAATTATATGTTACTAATACTAGTAAAAGTATTTTATAAGAGTTTTTAATTTTTTGTTCGTGTATATTTCAATTTTAGTCATAATTTTATTGCTACAGCAGTTTAAATTTCTTTTGTAATTTGTATATTCATTGGGTATGAATTAGATAGATTGACTAGTTGGAATAATTGGTATTTGCTACCTTTTTTGTAAAATTTAACTTGTGTGTGTGAGAGAGAGATAAAAAAGTTAAACTTTCTTATTGTATTGATAGTTATTAATATTCTTTATAATGACTATATACGTGCTGTACTTTGGTTTGCTGTTTGTTATGAATTAGGTGTTTTTTGGTAGCCAATGGTTTTTAAGGTTTTATGGGGAAAGTTGATTGAAATGTCTATACCTTTTCAAACTGAAATTTAGCTTATCCTTGCAAAAACCATCAAAAGTAAATTAAAACATTGATGAATATTTTCATTTTTCATAACTTGCAACAACTTGTGCTTTATTAGTTGTTTACACACTGTTTTTATTAGACATTAAAGAAGCTATTGTAATTGTCTAAAACAAAACACTATTAGGGTCGAACAAAAAACAATATATTAAACCTTAACAACCATAGAAATCCAAAATAAAGCTTTCAAACAAATGATTACAAATTTTATCACTTACAAAAAAAAATCATTAAATCAGTGATTGACCATGACTTGATACAAAAGAACCAGAAGAAGAAAAATCCTAATTCTGACAAAAAACAATATTTTAAAATTAACCACTTCAAGATCAATAAAAATATTGAGCAACAGTCGGTAATAATTCTTTCTAACTGTATCTCGTTAACTAACCACATAATCTTTCACAACATTAATGACTGTATATCATTGCTAGGGGAAGTTTGTGTCAGTTTCATAATACAAACATACTCAAATTCATTGTGCTCTAACTAGAAGGTGAGTTGGTGATTTAATATAAATATAAATTTATAATTGAACTAAATGATAGAGGGAGTAATAAAAGAATGGTAAATAAATTTATGACAAAATAATAGTAGAATTTGCTATCTCAAACCAACAGTGGAAGCTGTTTTGAATGGATGATCAACATCTTCGGAATGAAGTTGTAGCTTGGCTGAGAGATCACAGAGAAAACAAGAAATTCTGCGCATATGAAGAAGGTGTAGTTAAAGTTAATATAGACAGCAAGGTACCAATGTAAACTTGTGTATATTTGGGAAGGGTCCAGTAGCTTATATTATTTGGGATTTTTACATAGAAAATAAATTCTATTTGCTAAAAATTAGCAACTCAAAAAAAAAAAGAAAGGACAAAACCAGATAATTTAGTTGCAACAAAACTGCTATATTTGTTGAATTTTAGTGCTCTATCACATCGTTCCCAGTAGCATCTTTTCATTATCCAAAACCAAAATCTTGCCTAATCATACTATAAAAGATAGAAGTTTTGCTCAGGTAAGAAAACACATTATGATCAAACAGCTTTGAACACTTGTATTTATTTTTCATTGGGTAGTGTCTGAAATTTTAGATCTTCAAGAAATCTTGGAGAGTAGCACAAGAGCAAGTGAGGAATGAATTTAAATTATCTGCTTATTCAGTATAATAGAAGTATTCGTACATATATGATAATGTCATAAAATTACTTTATTTTGTATTTTAAATTTGTTGTATGATTTGATTAACTAATATTGATACCAGTAATTTTTGTAATGTTTCAATGCATGTTGAGAAAAAGGAGAAAACACATGTACCTTTCTCATTGACAGAACTTGCAATAAAAGAACAACTGAAAACAGCTCTATGTGTAGGGACAGTGAAGATGCAGTGTGAATTATACAAAGATCAAAAAATCATTGCTAAAAGAGGAGTTTGAAAACTTGAAAATAACCAAAAATTTCACTAGGTGTGTATATTGATAATTAGCATAGACTTTGTAAGGAGAGAGTAAATACTTATAACAGGAAAATTCTAAGTTCAAGCAACTTTAAGTATTTTTTTAGCAACTGTTGTGTTACTCAGTTATGTATTAAACAAGAACTAATAATAAAAACACATCTTGGAAAATATGTAAAACCTGCTTAGGAGTCCAATATGACTTTAGTTTTCACTAGGAATAAATTGTTTTTGTATTCCACGTATGAAATAGCATTACTTTGTAGGAATTTAAGAATGTCATTACTTTATTGGTTTGAAAGTTGCATGTTATTTATTGAGAGGCAAACTAATGATTAGGTTTGACACATCCATGTTTGTGGTGCTAAGCAATTTAACATCAGAAAGTTGTCTTAGTAATAATGAAGCAACTACTGATAAATCCATAGTGTATCATTTGCAATAGCTATTGTGAGCACAGAGAGGCAAAATTATACTGTGCTGTAAATATAAGAGGTGGACCAGATAACCCACATCAGCACACCTTGGGTCCACATGGACCCCAAAGACTTTCTTGGTTGTTCATTTTTTTACATAATTACAAATTTATATCAATTCATGTAATTGTCAAGCAGAAACATTGGATCAATATGATACTATTATTTTTGAAACAGGCAGATGGAGTACATAGCTATAATCTAATATTTATCTCGTGTCCAAGCAAAACCCATACTATCTTTGACCATCACTATACTTGCAGTTCACTCTATAGTATACAAAACAAATTTCTAAACATTTATTTCACTATAGAGGATAATCCATCAAAGTAGTACAGTATCATCTGGTCTGTTTGTTTATAACATCATTGTAATAAGCATGCACGTGCATCTCATTCCTCAACAAGTGTTCTCTGTGATGACTGCTTATAATGCCCTATTTTATAGAAACCTTGTTTGATAATTGTTGTAAATAACCTGTTTATTGGATTTTCAATCGATATCCTACTATAAGGATACATTTGTGTCGGGGTCTGGTTAGACCTAAGGTGATCCACAACGTACACTTTCAGTTTACTTTAAGTTGAATTTTACAGTATTGTGGTAATCTCATCATATATTGGTGGATAATAACTTGACTATAGGAGTATAATAAAACTTTGATACTTGTTTGATATGCTGTTTGTATAATGAATGATTTAATACTACATATCTGTATACTGAGAAACAATCTAATTTTGTAATTTCTTGATTTGTCAACATATTTCCTTTAGAATGCATATATTTTTATGTTATTCACATTGCATGCTAACCCTAATAATGATAAAAAAATTTTAATTCAATTGGTTTTTGGAATTTCAATCCAGAGCTTACTATAATGTTAATTTTGTAACTTTTCAAAGGTGTGCTGATGAGGTTAAGAAGAGTGTTCATGTATACGGCTTTTTTTGCTATTGTTACATGTTCTATGGTTCATGGATAAGATTTGGAGTTACATTGGTCAAAATGTGAATGTCTTCCACTTTGTTTCTGTGTAAAATCAATGTAAAAAATTATAACTTTTGGTCACTGATTTGCCAGACCTTTATAAACTGTGCATTAGGAAGTCATTTCAGATGGAACAGATCACAACCTCACTACCATTAAAAAAAAAAAAGGAAATGATACAATGCTCATAAATATTTTAAAAGTATAAATGACATTAACATAGAGTTGCTTAATGATCAAACTTCATAGGTGATGGAGCCAACTTAAACAGCAGTTCACGTTATATGTTCTTGCTTATTCAACAAAATAAAATGTAATTCTAATTTTCTTTATTAATGCAAGTATGATACTACAGTCTTATTTATTTAAAAAATTTCTTTTCAGGAAATTAGTTGGACAAGGCTATTAGTATTTGTTTAGGATTATATTACATGGTATTTTTTAAATATGAAAGTTGAAGATTATTTTATTTAACATAAAAACAAAATCATATTTCAATGTCTAAGACCTTTGATTTGTAATATTAAGTAATTTTGTAGTATTTGTGACATTCAGTAGTTTTTATTATTATATCATAATTTGTATAGAAATTCATTTTCAGTAGTATAGCATCTCTTGAAAATAGGTCTAATCCAAATCAGAAAATTGATAGTCCAGTTATGTTAAGATCAGCTAACTTTGCAGTTCCTGAACTTAACCACATATATTGATCCTTTTAGATCTGATACACATCTAAACTGGAGTGATATGTCTTACTTCTGGACCAGGGGTAAAATTCTAAAAGAAAAAAGTAGAGGTACTCAGCTGGGTGAAGTGGACCTGTTTTTGAAAAATTAAAATAAAATCTACTTGTAAACATAAAAAACGACAAAGCAGTTCAAATAAGTTCAGGTGAGTACTGGCAGAATTTCACCACTGTTCTGGACCATATCTGTGCTAGAGCTAAACATATCCCAGTTCTTGTCCAGGTTTGGAATAGAAATTGAGTGGATTTAGATCTTGCTGATTTCGGAAATGGATTAAATGTCTTTTTTTCTTTTTTAATAACCTTGCTCAGATTTGTAACTTCCATAAAGTATATGGAGCTACAATTTTACCACAAATTAAATTGAAGGATTAAATAATGCTGAAAGTAGAATATTAGGAATAAGCTAAAAATAATTAAAACTGAAAATATGAGCTTTGAAATTAAAATTGTGCCAAAGTGAAATTATAGGATTAAACTCTGGTAGAATATTTTAGGAATAAACAGGTGTCTTAAATGTAGTAGTAGGTCTAAACTAATTCTAGTTATTTAATATAGGGATTAAACTGATGTCAAAATTGCAATATTAAAAATTAGCTAGAGTCTGAAGTAGAATATTTTTTTATTTTTCTGGAATATTGCAAAACTTGAAGCATAAACTAGTAGTATATGTTTGATATTTTAGAAATTGGAACCACAAAATAGATATGATAATAAAGCTTGTGTCAGAAGTAATATTTTGAAGTTAAACTGGATCTAGAAAATAATACTCAGAAAAACACTGAGTATAAACCTGAGAAGTAAATCAATGTCAGATGTAAAAAATAAGGATTAAATTGATTCCAGAAATGGAATATTAAAAATAAACTGAAGGCAAGAGCGATATTTGAGCCTCAGAATTAAGCTTGTTCCAGAAATGAAATATCATTAAGTAAGGCAGCTTTAATTGTAGGGATAGTCATGAAACAACATAGCAGCCATAAAAACTGCCCATTTAAAACCACCTTTAAAGTAGTGAATATTAACAATGGCTATTTCAAACTATTGGCTGAACAAAACTAAAGCTTATTGTACTTATAAAACCACCTAACTTGCTATATATATGTTTATTGAGTGAATCAAAATCTCAGTAATTGAATGAATTTTCCTCTAAGTATGTAAGTAAGTGACTTTTCCAGACAAGCGTACAAATAATATAACCTTATCATTCTACTTCTTTCACAGAACTCCTATGTCTGGGGTCCCACTTATTCCTTTATTGCACCAAAAATATTACTAGTATAGAAATATATATATACTTATATATATTTTTATGTTGTTCACATTGCATGTTAGTCTTAATAAAAGTTGTAATACAATTGGTTTTTGGAATTTCAGTCCAGGATCAGATTAACATAATTACAATGATTTGCCAAAGTATGGATACAAATTTTTTAATTTAAGTAACTCAGTTTTTATAGTTTTGACTTTCTTGTTTCAATACTTTTTGTAGCATTAAAACTTTCTATATCACTAGAGCTAACTATATTATGTCGATATCAATCTCAACTTGTGTTTATAAAATTTAAACATTTTTAATTATACTTGTGTGAATAAAACTGTGCCAGAAATAGAATATAAAGATTATAGCTGGGCAATTTGATTATCTATGAGCAATGATTATATCAGTTAGTGGCACGTAAACTAATCATTTGACCAAATTTGTGATTAAATTGATTGTCACAAAAATATTCAACTAATTAAAATTAGGGTTTCTGATAATTATTATTTTTTGATTATTCCAATTATCTAAGTACTCGAAATATTGCTGTTATGTTTGTTTATTGTTATGTGCAAAGTGTCATAATGGGCTATCTGTGCTCTGCCCATCTTTAGCCTTATAACTTGTTGCTTTTCTTAATGCAAATTTCTTCAGCTTTAGTGAATCTGATTGAGGTGTAACTCATAATCTGAGAGTCTTAAGTTTGATCCCTATTGCCATCTTCCCACCAAACTTGCTCATCCTGTCTGTTATGGCAAAGCTACTAAGCCTATTTGCCACCATCACAAATTTTAAACTGTTAACTAGAGAGAAAGCAATTGTATTGCAGCACCTGCTGTCAACTTTTTTTTTTCTTCCTGAAATGATAATTAGAGGGTAGGGAAATGTTTGGAAGCACCTGTTTCAACTTTTCTATGTTTCTGTTTTTTTCCTCTTGAACTGCTGACTAGAGAGAAAGCAACTGTCTAGTAGTATCTGACACTAATTTTTTTTATTTTTTTTTTGAATAGCTGACTAGAGGGAAGACAACTGGTTGGCAGCATGTGCTACCAAATTTTTTTCTTCTGCTTGTACGCACCATGACTGAAGGAATACTATACTAATTCAGTAATAAAATGAAATTGATTAATACAAAGGTTGCATGTAAACTGGTACCAGAAGGTTGAATATTGTGAAGTATTGTTTATAAAATTACTTTAAAAGGAAGTGTTTACAATTTCAGAATATTATTTAATATTAGAAGTAATTTCTTATTTCTTTTTCTGTACTTTTGTGCATGTAGCTCATTTTCTATGTTGTTTAAGTAAGTTAGTACATGATGATGTAAGAGGAGAAAATGTACATTGTATGTAAGTGTGGACTAGTATAGTGATCTTCAGTAGTGGTTTTGTTCTATTTTTCCTTCCATTTTGCCAGTGTGACACAGTTTTCCATCAGTAATTTACAGGTCAACAGACACTGCAACTGGAGCTTTGAATTTTAAAAAAAATTCTGCTTTTAAGATTAACATTTTACCTCCTCATGTTTCTAAAGAGAAGTTAACATTGGATAGCTTTGTTTAAACTTTCCAATCAGGTCTGATCTCCATACAGCTCATTGTCAATGTCTATCAATGAAAAGTAAAAGTCCGATAATGGTGTTACTGTGTCATAAATTGTTTGTATTATTCAAAGTGTTTTTGTTGTTTTTTGACAAAAATGCACCAGAACAACAACCTTTACTGCTAAAGATCATGATTTTATTTCTAACAGTGTATTTTTAGTATAACAGCATTAATTAAGGTATCCTTTTTTCTTAATTTATATAATTTTAGATATAAGAACAACTTTTCTAGGTATCTTTCATATTTTTTGCAGGGATTGTTTTCTCAAGTTTTGCTTCATCCTTGATGAACAACTGTTTTACACTTTAAACATTTATTTAATATCTTTTAAATCTTAAATTAGCTGTCATTGTATAGAAGTTAGTGGCTGTTATTTTTTTCACAGTATCTGCTAAATGATAAAAAGCTTTAACATTTCCTTTCAACTATCATTTAGCATCAGAACTTTCAACCAATACAACTTTTGTGTTCATTGTTTCACCTCTTGCAGGTAAATCTTCATTTGAAAATGATTTCTTCCGCAGTTTGAATCAAGATTTTGATGGAAATCCATGCTTTTGCAGAGTAATTTACCTATAGATGACCTGTCTTTGGTCAATATACACTGGAAGAATATTTGAAAGACATATTTATCCTAGCCTCAGTTGCAAGTGCAAGATTGGAGTTGGGATGTTTGCATGAAGTGCAAATGTTGTGGATGTATTCATGATGGGAGTTTCTGTTGAAATTAAATCAGTCAGAAGTGTTATTATTTTCATTATAATCATTTTCATTGCATTAGATCATTCAGTAATGACAGATTTAGATATGATTGATCAGACCTCATTCAATGAAAGTCATGAAGTTGAAGAATATATTATTGTTTGTACTAAATGTGACAAACATGCTGAAAACCATTCATATCGTGCAAATCAAGGTCGAAATGGAATAGCCTCAGTCAAATTATCCTTGCTTTTAGTAAGAATTTTCAACAATCTACACCAAAATAGAATTTTGGGATTTCATTGCGTTTTTTAAAGCTAGAAATCAAACCCTAAACCTATGCAGAATTTTATATAACTACTTGGTTTAGTGGATTTTCTCTTATTCAAAGCTGCCACCAAAATATAGAAATTATGTTTGATTAACTTACAATTTTAGAGTTGAAAAATGTTAATAAAAACCTTGAAATTATAATGATTGCTAAGCTAAAAGCTCTGTTGATAATTAATGTTTTTTACCAAAAGGGGGCCAAAGGCTGCTTGGAAGGGTCACCTGTTTTAACCACTCGCACCACTGTACAGTAGTGTGTTGTCTGTCAGTCAGTCAATAGACACTAAAATGATGCCATATAAGGGATGCTTAACATTGCAATTTGTACTGTTGTGATGTTGGTAAAACATGAGCATGTCGTGAATCACAAGAATAATTATGCACTTTGTAAGCTACAACACAGCATGACATATGAACATGAAAAGCAAGAAATAAAAATATTTGTTACTCTTAATTTTGGTTTTATTTACTCTTTAAACAATAGACTTGTGGGGACCCTGCAGAAGTATATCTAGATATATTTTTCATATATAATTTTTCAATTTTCAGTACATGTATCAGGTTGTTTTAGATGTTTTGGAATGAAATATATCGAGTTGAGTACATTATATTAAAATGATTTTGGAGACTTCCTATATTCTTATAGTCATTGACTTCTCCATATTTGGTCATGCTCCATCTGATGACTGTACATCTTGACAAAAGCTCTGCAGCATAGTTTCCATTGCAAAAGGCTCTATCATAAGGTTGGCTTGTTCAAAGCACACCACTGCTCCCTGTGTACTTTCCATAGTCCATCTAGTGTACAATGATGATTGTTTCCCAACACCCATTTCAACAGTCTGATTGCAGAGAAATCCATTGGTGCTGTGTCTGATGACTTGGCTGTTATGTCTTTGTATGGAGTAGCATAAATATTCATTTCCTCTTCCAGCTGCTTGAAGTATGCATTGGTTGAACAGATATGTCATGGAAGTTTCTTGCACTCATGTGGCTTGTTTCACTTTTCTAGATGAATATCTTTCTTGATTATGTTGTGTACTGTTGTCTGGGATATATGAATGTCTTTTGCCACCACCCTTTGTGTTCATGCACTCTCACCTGTTAGAAGATACTACACTTTGCTTACCATGGATGAGATACAGTTTGTTGCAGGTTTCTTTCTGGATGGACATGGTGCTCCAAGTTGATCCATATTAATTTGTTTTCCAATGTCATTAAGGACATGGGACATCCCATCTTGGAAATTTTAATTCCCTCACCTGAACAAATCTTTATGAACTGAGTGCCTGAATATTCTGTGTCAGAAAGGGCTGTTATGTACCTTTCCAAAAAGCAATCAGTTTTTGGCAGTATCACACTAACTAAGAAATGCCAGACAATGTCAAAATTTAGTTGTGATACAATCCATTTGACCAAAACTCTATTGGCTGCAGTCACATATTTTACTGATTTACATAATTATAATTGTTTTAATATAGTGTACTTAACCCTCTTTAAGCAAATTTATAATGTTTTTTTTTTGGGGGGGGGGGTTCTATTCATTCAAGGTGTTGATTTTCATCTGAAAAAATGACTCATTGTTGATTGGGATAAAACTCCAAAATGTAGTTATTTTTATTTTGACTTACAGGACAGACCAGAATATATCTACAGATAAAATTAGTGATTAACAAAACCTAACACTTTATACATGTTATGGTTTCCCACAATGTTTACATATGCTGCATTGTACTTTATATTTTACTCAAACGATTTTCTGGAAAGAAAAAAGATTGAAAATTTATATTTATTCTCAGTATTATTTTGTTTGTTTCTAAATGCGAAAGAGATAGCTCTAGATACATTGAGTCTTAAAGGAAGAAAGTGGGGTGGGATATGATCTTATGTTATCTTAGTATGTTTAGTTTACAAAATAACTAAGTGAGGCTTTCTAATTCACTCATAAATATAAACTACTTGTTGACATTCTAGTGTTCTGTATGTGGATAAGCAGAAAATCTAATATACCAGTGTTTTATTTGTGTCTGTTTATTAATTGTTAGCATGCCAAGCCGGAAATGGTTCCCAGGGTTTGCGATTCACTTCTCATTGCTGCAAAATTGAGTTCTGCTTTTTGGGGTTATGAGTGCATTATAAGAGTGACAGTTAAGTTCTACTATTCCATTAGGGTAGACCAAAGTTTCGTGGTGGGTACAGTTGATTAGCTATCTTCTCTCTAGTCTATCAGTTCAAAATTAAGGATGGCTACTTTGTGCTTGTGTGTAACTTTGTGCAAATATCCAAAACAAACTATTCTTCAGTAGTTAATTAAGAGGGAGATTGTATACCATATTGAAGAGAAAAAGCATCTGATCCTGAATTACCTACTTTGTGTTAACATGCAGTACATTCTAGGCAATAGTAAGTATTTTTGTAATTTTGTTTTACATTAGATATTTAATGTTCCCACAGAAGTTTTACAATTGCCTTTGTTGTTACTTGCATATCGATTTTTATAAAGAATGGAATATTGCAAGATGTAAAGCAAATAATTGTTTAAGTGTCCTGTTAAAGGTTTTGCTTTCAAATATGCATTCAAGAAAATAATAATAATCGTGTTTTATTCAAAAAATTTTCCATTGCTAGATATTTGTTATATTTATACATGCCATGTTAGTATAATTCAGTTCTTACAAGAAAGTGTATGGTAGAGAAGAGTGAAAAATTGTTGCAAATGTTTGTTCTGGATGCGGAGATATCAGTATTACCTCATCTAAATAGTTTTTTTTCAAAGCTCTTGATGTTTGAAAGAGGTCAGGCCCACCTAGTGTATGTAATTGCTGTGACTTTGCAACTGAATGTGCTCACACACACACACATACATTTGGAAACTAGCTTTCCATTTCCTTAAAAATAGGATATTTTGAATAATGAAAAGTAAGAAATAATGAATTACGAAAGGCCTCAGTTATTTTATATGCTATGATAATTGTCTCTTAATTTGATTATTTTAATTTTCAAATGAACAGGAAAATATTTTTCCTGAAGACAAAAATAACCTAAGCAAAGCATAAAAGATCCTTGGTGTAGGGTTTAACCTGTTACTGTGTATTGTGGGACTAAAGGAACTAATCATCATAGTAACTTCCAAAGCCAATAGAGGGCACTAGTAATGTGTGTTGATGATGCTGTAATAAAATGAGGATTACCTTGCAAAATAATGAGTATTTAGTATTGTTTATCCACATAATTGTTACTTTTGAAATTTACATTTTCAAATGTTCTTAGTCTACCTGTGGACAGTTGTTAAATCCTAGAATGATTGGGCTTGGAAGTGTAGAATTCTTCTAGAAAGGTCTTAGTTATACGCTTCGGAAGCTTAAACATATTTGAATTGAAGTTTACCCTAATTTAATCTGGCTCTAATATCTTAGACATATTTAATTATTTTGAAATACACATATGAGGGAGGAGGGAAATGTATGATTTGAAGTTTAATGGGATTGGATATGTAATGAATAGTAATTGGCTACATTGAATATTGATAGAAATTTTTCTGTTATTGACTGTTTCATGCTCTTAAATAATGATAAATCAGATATATTTTCTTAAGTTAACTGGACACCTCAATTTTTTTTCTCTCAAGCTAGTTTTATCATTCAACCACAGTAATGTTTATACAGTCACTCCAAACTGTGGATTGATTTTAGTTAATTAGTGAATGCATGTTCTTTTTTATCTCTTTCACATGTTAAAAGATTTTCCTTCCAATGGCAAAATTGAATAACTTACTTAGGTAAACAAGTTCCATAAACCAAGTACTACAGTGAAAATTTACTTGCGTGTCTTTTTAGCAAGCTAGAAGAAAGTTGACAAGTGAAATTATTGATAACAGCAAATCGAAAGAAATGGTTATAAGTTAATTAATGCTCTTTTTTTTAATATTAAATCCACCTGTTTTCATAAAACAAAATATTTCAAGAAAAATTATGTACCATGGTTAAATTTATTTTAAGTTACATAAAAGTGTGATTTTTTGTGTGTCGAACCCTATAATTATCTTTATTTGTATCATCATCAATACCTTCTACTATAGTTGTCAGCCTTGATTCATAGTCTTGCCTTAGAATGGAAGAGGTGTGGTATATTCAGGTGAACTGAATTATCATTAGAGATATCAGATAGGTTGCTAAATAACTGGAGATTTGTTCAAGATATTAATTTTGGGAGTATTACTGGAACTCTTACTGAACTGAGTCAATGTTAAACAGAATAACAAGATTGAACACAAATGTAGAACAAAATGCACAGTCTTTATTAAATGACGTAACTTAAATACAGTATATATTCTTACTTACCCTGGATGATCATTTTCACTGGCTCTTCTATATTCAACTGTTCAACACCAGACTGTTTAAATTTCTAGATTCTTTAGTTATCCAGGAACCTTTGTACATATACTACCCACATGACTAATTATTTTCATTACAACATGGATAGGGATAACCTCCAGATATCATCTGAACAGTTATTGATGGGCACTATTGGCCTTTACACAAGTTGTTGTATTAAGCAATATACTTCTTGGGTAGTGACAGCCACTACCTACTTCAAGAACAACAAAGGTGACTTGAAACAAGATAAGTGTAATGGTTTTCTCGACCACATGTTAAACCTGCACATCTTAAGAAAAAATAATAATAATTATTTCAACATTCTACAGCTTAATATCTTACTTTATGTTTCTATTCTACATGTATAAGGTTCAATTGTCAAATATGGTATTTCTGATAATGATGCAGATTCCACCTAATTCAGAGTCATCAGATCTTTGAAGGTATCTGGTGTAGGTGAGCACAGTAGTCAGTGGTAATGACACTGTCTTTTCCCTTCTTTATATGAAGTTATATGTCTTCAGGCTTGATTATTCAAGGGTTATAAGAAGTTTTGCACCTTTAAGGAAAGTATATAACAAG